ACACACACACACACACACACACACACACACTCACACACACACACACACACACACACACACACACACACAATCAGATGGATTTCATGAGCAGATGTTAGTTGTGTCCCGGCTGTTGATGCTCATTGTTGTGTAGTGGCTGACTAGCAATGCGACAGCTGCACTCACATTAGTCTGAATCATTGAGAGCAGGGTGTCTAAATCCGGTCCTCAAGGGCCACTAACCTGCATGTTTTCGATGTTTCCCTCCTCCAACACACCTCATTTAAATAATCAGCGCATCAGCAAAAGCTACAGAAGCCTGATCATGATTCCGATTATTTGGTACAGGTGTGTTGGAAAAAAAAAAAACATCAATAATATGCAGGATGGTGGTCCTCGTATGTGTATGTGATTTGTATTGCTAATAAAAGATAATTCATTTATATTCTTTAATGGTATCATAATCTTTATTTAAAATTTAATGAGAGTGAGACATTTTTTTATTTAGCATATTAAAAAAAATCATCATTATCAATAGTATAATTGCAATATTTTATTAATTACAAAGCATGAATGAAAAAAAAATTGAAATAATAAAAAAAATTAAAAATTTATGAATCCAGTGGATTCCTGCTATTTACGTGGGATTGCAAATTGTCAAAATTCCCATTCTTAATTGCATTATTTATCATTTCAGAGCATTGAGATATGATTTAATTCGTTCTGTGACCTCATCACGCAAAAAAACAGCATTGCAAATCATTGTTCCCCATTGAAATGAATGGGTGCGTCATTGATCTGTCCCAGTCTCACCCCCAGGTGTGGTTTTTCATCAGAAAAATAGCACTCTATAATATGGTGCTTCATAAAAACATGGCATGATTAAAAAGAAAAGAAATTAAAATGTTTTTATTCATGAATAACTGAATATTTTTTATTATTGAAACATTTTAGCTTCAATTTAAAACACATTGTGCTGCTCCTGATTTCTTGGCCATCCTTGAGGCAGTGTAATGCACATATACAGATATCCTGTGCACGGAGGCGGTCTCAGCTCTTCAGTAAACTGCAGTAATAGTAGTTGTTCTTCGTAGGGGATAAAAAATATATTTCTTTGTGTATGGTTGTAATATATTTAGTGTTGCTCCACCATTTGCGTTCAAATATCTGTTGCTTGAATAATTATAACACGCACGCCACTGATGCTATTCCTTAGCCTGTCTATGGCGTTTATCATTATAAGTTAGCATTAAGCATGTGGACATAACTTAATTAGGTGGGGAAAAAAAAAACAATCAAGATCATTTTAAGATGGGGTACCTGTTGGCAAGCATGTCTACTCTCTGTCGTATGCGCTCCGAGTAGATGTTGTTCTGGCTGATGAGGCTCTCGCCGGCCTCAATGACAGCCTTGATGCGATGCAGGTTGAGCTCCATGGTGGTGGTGAAGTCCTTGTGCTTCTTCACCGCAGCCTCCACTGTTTCCACTGTGGTGGGAAGCTCCACGTGGGCCAGCGCTGACTCCTACAAGATACATAGCCAATGCTCTTTGGCAACAAGTGACTGGTTGGAGGCTTCTGTGAGGCCATGGTTGAGGCCAACTTTTTAATAGACAAAACGCCTTGGATTTTCTTTTTCTTCACATAGGACCAGAAAAGTCAACACATCGACTAGTTGAGTTCGGTTCAGCCCCTAACCTTCCTCACCTGGTTGTTGATGAAGGACTCTGCCTGTTTGACATCGCGCAGGAACAGGTGGAATATATGTGCCTGCACCAGGACGTCCCGCCGGCTCTCCCACATTTCCAGCAGCTTGTTCCAGCCCACGTCCAGTTTCTGCAGCCACTGCTGCAGGGCGGCCTGCGGAAGAGGCGCCTCCTCCGACTCCAGCAGCTCGTTCATCGCCTGCAGACGCTCGTAGTCCTCCTCGTAACTGCGGAGGACAACTGAAATTCACTTTTTGACAACAAAAGACTTTAATTTGGGACCTTCTGTGACAAGCGTGGTGCATAAACTATGAGGGAAGGGAGAGAACGTAAGAACGTTCCAATTTTTGGGGGGGATGGCGCTTTATGAGAATGACTGCTTGTCACAGCAGCAGCGCATCATGGTTTTCAAATGGTTTTGAAATGTTTTCCCTCACAGGATATCTATCTATGTATCTGTCATTTTTGTAAACAAAGTAATATGACATTTTGGGTGAGATCTTTTGTGACTGCCTGGTGTGCTGCATTTGATTCTAACTTTTTGTTAACAAAGGTTAGTGGTCCAGCTTCGAGGTACGCACCGTCCAATTTCCTCCTTGAGTGCGGCGTGTTTATTGATGAGTCTCTCGGCTTCCTCCAAGTCATTAGGCAGCTGGTCCGAGGCCGCGGACGTCTGAGTTTGGACCAGCCAGGTCAGAAACAAGTCCAGGTCCTGATGAGATGCAGCAACAGGGGAATTCTATTGTTTTCTAATACAGAACGTCTTATAGAGCTGTCGTGATGAATCACACTCAACTTAACCAAGTGTGTTGTTGACTATTTTTTGATTCTGTGGATCATTGTTGACTTCTTTTGTGCAAAGGGGCGGTTATCATGAAAACAATCACATTGCAGAAATTGTATGACTCTGTTTCGCAAAATAGGGCCTGAGGCGACACGTGGGTTAGAGCATGAATGATTTTGCATGTGTATGTCATTAATCAATCAACAGTTGTTATGCCTTGAGTAATTGTCAGTTAATTGGCATGAGCGCCATCTGCTGACCTGGATGAAACTTTGCAGTCTGCTGGCCACCATAAGCGAGTCCTCGCAGCCTTGCAGGGTGCGTTTAAGCTCTTCCCACTCCACGCTGATGCCGTCGAAGGGAAGTAGGACCTCCGTGGCCCGGTTAGCGTGGGCTGTGGCAAGGTGCTCTGCTTCTTCCTGCATCAGCAAAAAAACATCAAGGGCTTAATGTTCCTCAACGTTCCTGCCTTTTTTTCTCGACTAGTACTGACGGTATTTTTATTTTTTTTCATAAGTATACAATACAATACAATACAATACAATACATCCTGATATATATAATGCTTTCAATATATACGATTTATACAGAAATAGACAATTTATTCTTGATGTAAAACCTTTTTAGAAATCTGAGTTGTATTAAGTATACAGTACTACTTATTTTTCTAAATGTAAGACCTTTTCAGAAATAATTGACTTTGTTGGAAATGAAAAACTTTTTGAAAATGATTAGCGATTTAAAAAAAAAAAAATTTTTTTTTGAAATAAAATTGACTCCTATTCTTCGCCTGTGAATTATGAAAATTCATGTACAAATGACACCTAAATAATAAGATATAAAAAAATCAATATAAAAATATTTCCATAAAAGTGACTTTCTCTGAAATATGTAACTTTTTCCCAGCAAAGGAATGTATGACTTTGTTTCAGACATCTATAAGGTTTTCTGATATAGCTAACATTTTTTTCTGATATCGATAACATTTTTAAATATAAAACATTTGAAGAAATATACACGACTTTTCCAGAAATATACCAAATTTTAAGAAATACATGAATTTTTCTAAAACATCCTAGTTTGTCAGAAATACACAAATTTGATGAAAATATTATTAGTTTTTATGAATGATATTACTTTTTCCGCAAATCGCCAACAACTTTGCTTGAAGACAAGAGCGACAGCTCCCATTTCCTCAACCTCCCTGCATATTTTTCCACCTGTCGTGCCTCACCTGTAGGTGCATCAACTTGGGCTCCAGCACAGACAGCGCCCCCTCCATCGTGGAGAGGCGGCGCTGCAGAGCCAGGACGCCGCCCAGATCGCTGCCGGCGTACTGTGTCGCGTCGATGGCCTTGCGCTTCTCCTGGATCTGAGACTTGATCTCGCTACACTCCAGTAGGTAGTTCTGAAGACGCTGCATGCTGTCCAGCTGGTTCTTCTTCTGCTCCACCAGACCCACGATGCTGTTCCACCTGCCAAGGAACAAACATGTTAAACAGATCATATGGTGTGTGTCAGACTGTGTGTGCGAGTGCGTGTGTGTGCGTGTGCGTGAGAGACACCGTGTGTGAATACATGATGTGAGGCCACCACATCCCTCTCCCATCCCCATTCCTTTTGTCATCTGCATCACCAATCAAGATCTTCTGTACTACATCTCCATCTCTCTCCTTATCCTCCTCCGTTTCCTGATCTCCAGACTACCCCCACAAATTCATTCTGCTTTCGCTCCCCATCCCGTGCCCATCACATTCAAGATTTTCCACTGTGAACGATCATTGAACTCCTCATAACTAGCCTACTGAAGATCATCCACACCGTGCCTCCATCATGCTCCTCATTTTCCCTCAACCCGTGTGGTTCTATGTTGGACATTGAAATAGCTTTTCTGTCAATACCTGGAGTTGAGGTGGTCCTGACAGCCTCTGACCTCCGTGGAGGACGGATGTCCCCCATCCAGAAGCTGCTGGACTATCTGGTTGACATCCAAGATCCTCCCCATTAGGCTATTCATCTCCTGGTCCAAGGACTCAAACCTGCGACAAATAAAAAAAAAAAAAAAAAAAAAAAAAGAAGCCATCCTATATAACATGACACTTTCCATGTAACTTTATAGTTCCTATGTAATGATACCATAGTTATAGATCGTCTTATTCTGCTGTTGTTTTCTGTTGCTTTTTTTGGTTTTGCTTCTGTAGGGTTTGTCAAGAAACACATTTCCTTTCCGACATACCTGTGCGCCACCACTTCCACGTCCTCCAGGTTCTCAGGGATCTCCATTTTGTTGAGCCATTGCTCCTTTTCATCTATCCAGAGCTCGCAAGCATTGACTTCGCTGAACATGCGATAGACAGCCAGGGCGTCGTGGAGCCATTGCTGGCGGAGTACGGCCACCTCCACCACCTCCGTGTACAGTTGTTCCACTTCCACTACCCGAACCTGCACGTCCTACACAAAACCGCATGGAGAAGCCACCAGAGCCATGGAGCAACATAGAAATCCATTTCATGAAGCCCTCATTAATTCTCCAATTTCCTTACATTTGTATTTAATTTTAGGGCCGAGCAATTCATCAAATTCAAATATCGCAATGCAGTAGAATGCAATTTTCAAATCGTTAAGGCTACAAATTGTAAAATGCTTAATTTCGGTTAGTCTACAGGCTTTATTTATTTAAACATATGTATATTATCCTGATTTATTTATATAGTGTTTTTATTTTCTGAGATCCCACATAATGGGTGCTAAATTAGGCATTCGCTTATTTGAACAGACTGCACGCCCTGTTGGCAATAGGTGCAAAAGCAGCGCCTACCTCTTGTTCTCTGTAGCGCAGCGGCAGCAACGGCAAGTGCTTGCGCAGCGCCACCACATGCAGCCGATGCTTGTCGATGTCCTCGCTGACACTTCGGTGCTTCTTGAGTAGCGAGCATGTGGAGTACTCATCATGACCGAAGTCCTCGCTGGAGACCAGACGGTACGAGTCCTGCAGCCACACCACCAGGTCCTCAGTCTCGGTCGAGAACTGGAAGAAGTTGAGCGCTTCCTGTAGGTGGGCGAGGCGTTGCGCTGCCTGCTCTTCTAGCCGCGTCCACTCATCCGTCACGTCCAGGATGCGCTCATGGATGCCCGCTGTGCCCAAGCTCTTCTCATTCAGAATCTGCTGACCACGCTCGATGGTCGTCTGGAGATGGTACCACATTATCACACCGAGTCATTGAGTTTTGGGTTTATGGGGAGTAGGGGTGATTGATAACCACTTTATTATTCATTCTTACAAAGTACTGATACCAGTAGTACTCTCTATCTATAAAATTTCATATAACACGATGACAATAAATTGTGATTCCTCAATATGTCAAATTGCTGCAATATAGCGCCAACGACTGCAGAGGACTTACTGTACTTGACGTCTCGATTTTTTTTTTCTCGATAAGTATCGGTGGCTGGTATCGGCAGTATCTACGATACCCAATACCTTAAAATAAGGCCTGTATTGTCCTGATACCGATACCTGGTATCAATACTCGCCCAATCCCTAAAGAGGAGTCAATAAGCTTGACTGCAATTAGTGAGTGTTTCAAACAAGTGTTAAGGTTTCAAGCATGGGTTAATGTGAAATGAATGTCAAGTCAGTCAAAACACGGTCAGGATTTGAATCTACTACTACTGTCTACTGTTCGAAGCCTATGTTTAAGGTTTCAAAAGCTTGGTCAATTTAGTGTTTACAGCCAGAGTCAGGGTATCAAGTTAGGCTTTCAAATTTGAAAACGTCTATCCTTATTCCGCTACTTCCTGACAGAGGCATTGGGACACCAACTCACATGCAGGACAGCACGCGCACGCAAACAAAGAAACACACACCTCCAGCAAGGCTCGGTGGGCCATTAGTTCTCCGGCGAGGGTCTTGTGTTTCTGGAGTAACTTGAGCACGCTGCTGAGGTCTTTCCCATAGCCCTGAGCCCCCAGGATGGAGCTCTTTTCCCGAATCCACACCTCAGACTCCTCCAGTACCTGTTTGGAGGACACATGGATAGCATGTTCGCATTTCTGTATAGAAGTCGAGCTTCCATCTCAAACCTGGAAAAAGGCCCATAGCTGCCTGGACTCCTCCAACTCAGAGCGTCGCTTGGCTGCCAACTCCTTCAGCTCCTCTAGGCAGGACGACACGTGATTGACCCGGTTACAGATCACTTGCGGGTCGCATGGCTGGTAACCTTTGGAGACGGCAAAAACAAAGCAGTCAATCACGTCGCTCACTAGGATGCGGGAGCATCATTTTGTGGTTGCTACCCTCTTTGTGGGTGAACTAATGTGTGTGTACCCTCAATGGTTGTAAATTTGAGTGCAGCAGCATTGAGTGTCTCCACCCTCTCAGCCTGCACCCCAATGTCGGCTTCCTGCAGGCTGTGCTTCTGCAGCAGGTCGTCCACCTCCAGAAGATGCTTCCCAAAGTCCTTGGACAACAGTTGGGCCTAGGAGGGAAATTGGTACACGTTTTCTAACGTCCGGTGGATGGATGGATTTTGAAGGTTCTGGACTGTCAGTGGGCAAAGTACGGCCCATGGGCCACAAACGCTGTGTTTCCTTTTTCTAGCTCATTTCACATTATCAAGACACCCACCATATTAGTTGCATTAATTTAGCTGTTTTTCCTAAAACTGGTTATTTAAAATGTACTATAAATAAGTTTTGTATTTTGCAATACATAAATATATATCATTAAATCGGTTAATAAGTCTATTGATAAATTATCAAATGAATCTATAAATAATGCAAAAACATCACATTTGCAAAAAAACAATTTTACATTAAACCGGTACATTTTTACATTAATTTTGAGAAATGGTTGTTTAAATAATTTATTGGCCAAAATAGAAAGATAACTCTTAGTAAAATACTGTACACAGTTTGACGTTTCATTAATTTTTTTCATTTAATCATAATACATTGTAAAATAACAATAATATAACATGTAATATAGTCATATATTTAAGAATATTTATGAATTAAGGATTAAGTTTCAGCAACAGATTGAATTTCTTTCTAAAACACGAAAGCTACAATTTACAATGCATGGTAAAATCCGTATCACGTGAGCTTTTATAGGTCAAATTTAAAAAGTTAGGATTAGTTATTAAGTGAAGAAAAGTGATTAGGTTTTATATTATTCTTATTTACTTCATTTTTTTTAACCTCCTCTACAAATGACCGATGGACCATATGTCCATTTTAAAAGTCAAACGTGGCCCGGATGCATAAAAGTTCGGCCAGTCCCATTCTAAAACCTCGGCTACCTGTGTGTCCTCCATCCAGTCGATCATGTAGACCATGTCCTGGAAGGTCTTCTGCAGGGCCAGGTTCTTCTCCAGCCGGGTTCGCCTGCCCACCAGCAGCTCCTTCAGCAGACTCCACTGTCCCAGGATGTTCTCTTTGCGGGCCAAGATGCGGCGGATGTCGTAGTAGCTCTCCACCTCCATCTCGGTGGCCAGCTCCACCACCACGCCAATTCGCTCCTCATACGAGGCGATATCCGCCTCGATGGCCTCGTGCTTCTTCATGGCCGCCTCAACCGCAGGGAGATCATAGCCAAAGTTGTCCTAGAGGGGACAGACAAGAACTTGAGGATCATTTTGGACCTGTTGAACTTCTCCCCTCAATACCCACGTCCTTCCAGGACATAGGCAAGTTTCCAATTTTAGGAATGAGTTTGTTTTAGATTGTTAGAGTTGGAAATGACTATTAAAGGTAAAGCCACCCACAGTGATGTCACAGCTTTGCCCTCCACATTTCTAGGAGTGGACTTCACAATAGTACCACATGTATCATTTTCAGATGTTGAGAACGCGTCATTCGGGGTCATTTCAGTTATCCAGTGATCTATATCGTTGGAAATAATCCCTAAGATGTAAGAAATTCCTACATAGCTAAATGAAACATCAACACTTGATATTTTTAGGGGTGAGCTTTCCAGTAGTGCCACCTGTTTCCTTGTACAGGTATATTGTCATTTAGTCTGTCTTGGATATTCACAAATTGTCCCGGTTGGTAAAACTTTTTTTTAACAGAAAATCATGCAGGACTGAATCTGACTTCTACATTCACTTGGATCCTTCTAGGATATCGGGAAATATCCAGCCTGTGATTTCAGGTGTTTCGGACATTCACGGATCATTACAGATTGAAATGACTGTTGAACTGAAAGTCATCCAGTGCTACCTTGACATTTTTATGAGTGAGCTTTCTTATATGACAAAGGGAAATGTCCCAACAAAGATTTTCAGCTGCTTCAGCTATTCATGGATGATTACAGTTGGGAATAACTTTTTAATGGAAAGTCATACAGGGATGAATCTTCTTGTAACTTCTAGACAAGGAGTCGGCAATCTGCGGCTCCGGAGCCGCAAGCGGCTCTTTCATCCTTATGTTGCAGCTCTGCATGGCTTGGGAAAGTGTCTGATGTAAGTGTTTGTTATTTTAATTCTGCGTTTTTTTTTTTGTTTTTTGTTTTGTAAGAAAATGTGTTCATTTAAGAAATAAAATGTCATTTTTTGAAACATGGATACATGGATTTAACATCAAGAAGCCTCGGGTGCATGGGTGTTGTTTTTCACAGTACCTGCGACACGAGTCTCTGGTTCTCATTGAGCCACGCTTGTCTCATGGTGGTCTTGTGGTCAAAGCGCTGAGCCAGCAGCTCCAGCTTCTCCTGGCGAATCAGCTCCTTACGCATGGCCACACCCCTCTCGTGCTCCGCTTTCTCTAGTCGTTCCCACGCCTGGAAAGAAGCTACGTAAGGCTAACCGATAAATAAACTTCAAAAGGGTAATATCTTGTAAGACCACCTTGTTGATGTCGGAGATGAGCTTTCCCTCATGAGGCATGTAGGCTTTCTGGTTGTTAGCTCTTAGTTTGCTTTGAATGGTGAAGAGAAGTACCTCGAGGTTGCCCTTTTCCTGGAACCTGCAGTTAAGAAAAGTCATCTTGACATGGGACATCATTTTTGATGCTATGAGGGAGATTTTCGGACAACCACCACAGGTGTTTATTCCTGTTTTCAAATCATAAACTGAAGCTATATAGCTGATCCGCCATTGTCTTTACATGGCATTGGAGATTCAAATCAGACACGGGGAGAACATGCAAACTCCACACAGAGCTGTTAAAAAGTCATTTTTAAATAATATGCCCCCTTTAAAGAAGTAAACTGTGGAAATGGAATCCATTCAACTCACTTGATTGGCTTCTCGACGGTGCAGTAGGTGGTGAAGGCCTGCAGCTGCTGCTGAACGCCGGTCAGCGAGTTGGCAAACTTCTGGTTGCCAATGACAGCAATGGTCTTCTCAATCCAGTCCAGCAGGTCTGACGCCAATGCCTCATACCGGCCCACCAGCTTCTCGGCCTCGATGCAGTTGTCCAGGACCTGATGCGCATTATAACCGGTTGAATCAAAACACGTTTGGAGAAGGGAGCGAATAAACCGCTTGTTACCTTGCCGACTCTCTTGCCCTCCACGATAAGAGCTTTCATCTTGGAGAAGTAGTGGTAGTAGGAGACCACGTAGGTGATGATGGACTTTTCATCGGGGTTCTCCGTGTTCACATCTGCACATGAAGCAATGTGAATTCTTTATAGAACTCTTTTAAGTGAATGAATGATAAGAGGGAGGTCCAGTTCACCCTCAGGGTCCAGCAGCTTGGTGAGGCCCAGGTTCTGCTCAGCGACGTTGAAGGCCTGCTGCAAGTTGTGAGTAGCGTTGGACCTGGTCAACTTGTGAAACGCAATCAGATCCGGTCTGCAGTAAGAAAGCAGGACACTCTTCAGACACACCTCAATTTTAAAAGACGGTTAAACCTGCATCCCTAACTGGATGTTATATATTCCCAAGATGGGGAGCGGTGGGAGGCATCTATTAGGTCAAGTGAAAGAAGAGTTGAAAACAAAAATAAAAAGGACTATTATGGAGAATGGACTGCACGGTGTTCGACTGGTTAGCAGGTCTGCCTCACAGTGCAGAGGTTGGGGGCTAGATTCTGGGTTGCAGCCTTCCTGCGTGGAGTTTGCATTTTCCCCCCGTGCCTGGGTGGGTTTTCTCTGGGTATTCTGGTTTCCTCTCATATTCCAAAAACATGCATGGTTGGTTAATTGAACACTTTAAATTGTCCCGAGGTGTGATTGTGAATGTGAATGGTTGTTTGCCTATGTTTGCGCTGCAATTGGCTGGCACCAGTTCAATAAAAATAATACAATACAAAGACGGCATCTCGGCATAATGCCACCCTGAGAACTGACCTTACTTCTCAACACAAGAAGGAAAAATATTCGATTTTTGGTCGATCTGTCAATATTGTACACCCATAGCTCATGTATAGTACAAGAGGGGACACATAGTAAAGTGCGAAAATAAAACCGCAAAAAAAGTCATGTCAACCTGTGCCTGTGTATGAGTGCATTGAAGGCCAGGCCATCCCTCCAGCAGCTGGTGAAGTTCTGGATGTTCACTTCAGGGTACCTACAAAGAAAAAAATGAATACATAAAAAATCTGTGTGTGTATATATAAATAAATAAAAACATTTCAATTGTGTTTCCTCTGATGTGGACTTCCCCCTCACCCGGCAGTCTTCATCTGGCACCAGAGCAGCAGAGCGTCCTTGGCCGAGCGTGTCTCTCTGTTGTCAGCTGTGGCAATTTTGATCACTTGGATCTGTACAAACACAACAATGATGATATTAGAGCACCCTCCCTATAGGACACAGAGGATGGATAACTTTGAGAGACTCCTGGAAAGATTGTGTAAAGAAAAAATTGTGCATGTGCTGGTTGCTTCATTTCCCACTTGATGGGTTGGCAGGTACTTGATATGCTTGCAAGTGGACTTCTATTCACTGTATTCGTCTATAAATACATTTCCCAGTTACTCCCTCCACCTCCACCTCCTCTTCTCCTTAATCTTCCTTGTCTTCTTCATCAGAGTACTGCCACACCTCTCTGATTTCAGCACAAAAGAAAGGCGGAAACAAGAAGTGCGAGAAGGAATCGTTCCTTATAAAGAAAGCCACAAATGTCCTCGACCTAGTTAACTTTCTTTATGAAAAAACTACGATACATGTGTGTGCGTGTGTGTGTGTGTGTTTATGACTCCTTCCATTGTGTGAGGCCTGGAATGACCCCTGCAGCTATGATTGACATTCATAAAATACCAAGCAGGTGATTGGGTGGCTGCAAGGCCAGCTCATTTCATTCATTTTGGGTGGGGCAGTTTTGAGCCCCTTAATGCAACTCAGCCTGGGGGCACCACATGGCCAGTCACCATTACTGCATTGTGGGTGTGGGGGTTGTGTATCTCTGCATCTGTGTTTTTCTTGGGGGAGGTTACCACTAAAGTCTCCACAGTAGCGGTGGTCACAGATCAAAGCTCAACATAAAAATCAAAGAAAAAAAAAAACAATGTCGGTTTACTTAACTGCAGATGGAGGCTCTCTAAAGCTGCAGTATTCTCTCTAACAACACTAACAGCGAGTCTGCTCTTACATTCAAGAGTTATAGCGACCATGCACATCAAAATCTTATTAGGCTTCATAATGTGGCGAGAGGGCGGTATGGTGGTTGACTGGTTAGCACGTTGGCCTCAGAGTGCACAGGCCTCACAGAGTTCTGGCCTTCCTGTGTAGAGTTTTCATGTTCTCCCTGTGCCTGCGTGGGTTGATCAAACACTTTAAATTGTCCTTAGGTGTGATTGTGAGTGCGAATGGTTGTTTGTCTCTGTGTGCCCTGGAATTGGCTGTCAACCAATTCAGGGTGTCCTCCCGCCTACTGCCCAAAGACAGCTGGGATAGGCTTCAGAACACCCGCGACGGTCATGAGGATAAGCGGATAAGAAAATGGATGGATGAAATCCATTTTGTCAAAACTTGCCTTAGGTCATTATTTTAAGAGACTCACGATATGACGATATGATATTCAAAGTAGGATTAGAGCATACAAATCCATATGAATTCATTGTACTTTTCTTTTGCATGTGCCATTATCACAATGACAATATTTTTTTCAGCCCGAATGTAAATTCTGCCTCCTAATAGTAGCTTTCTTTGAAGTCCTTCCGAAATATGACAATGTTCTAATGTTTCTCTCTTCTTAAGAAAACCCATTTAACTTTTCAGTGTAATAATGTAATGTAAATAATAAAACAGTAGTCTCACAAGGATAATAATTTAACAAAGAAAAAAAAGGTCACTTCTGTTACACTAAGGTAATTTTTGTTCTTCTACTTCTCCTTTTCATTATTTTTGCTGCTGTAAATTTGGAATTTCTCCATTGTGAGACTAATAAAGGTTTTCTTATCTTATGTTATCTTACACAAGCTCTTAGCATGTTAGCATTTAAAACCCATTAGGCTTTTAAAACAATGGCCAATTACACAGTAGGATGCATCATGCCGATAAATCTACCTAAGTGCTTTATCTACCACATTCAAGTTTCTAGCTTGTTAGCATTTCTAACTTACTGTGACCATGCTAGCATAGTCAGCATCGGGCCTGCAGCACGTTGAGTTTTTGCTTGGTACCTGGAAGCGGAGGATGATGGTCCAGATGAGGCCCAGTGTGAGGCGGTGGTTGCCGTCCACAATGTCATGTGAGCCTACATTCTCCAGGTGGACCCTCTGCTCCTTAAGGAACTGGAGGGCTTTGTCCACATTCTCCAAAGAGTGGATGCGCATGCGGCCTCGTGTCGGCCTCGGCTGTAGGGGCCAACAAAAAAATAAATAGCGGGCACCATGGTTGACTGGTTAGGACATTTTGACACACTGTCATTTTTGGGAAAGGTCACATTGCTAATCTTATGATAACTCAATCGGCTTTTCTTTCTTATTTGGCTATCTTGTCATGTGTTAGCAACCATGTTAGCATGACAAATCTCTGGGCTCTCACCAGCAGCTCCCCGCTGAGAACCTCGAGCAGCCGCGTGAGCATGTAGCCATCGCGCAGGTCATTGTAGAGGTCTGAGATGCGGCAGGACACTCGGGCCAGGTGGGAGTTAACCCATTTAGTGAACGTCTTCTTCTGGACGGCATCTCGCTCCTCTGTGGGGATTTAGACAAAATGCATTGGGACAAGAAGGAGGACTCAGTGTAGGCAAGAGTACAGTGTTACATTGGGCTGGGCAATGAATCAATTTAAATGATTAATTAAAATTATCTTAAAAGACTTTTTGAATGATTCCAATTCCTATCCAGAAAACTTAAGTGATTTTTAAAAATTTGTTTTTTTAATTGCATTACTTTTAAAATGGTTTTGTATGTTCTCTTTTAAAATTACTTTAATTTTGTGGCCTCGCAAAAATTATTCTTAGATATTTTTTGTAGATTTTTTTTCTTAATTATTTAATTCAGTGTTTCCCCACTGATGTGCACAGCTTTCACTCTCAACATGGTTGTGAGGTGGTAGTTCATAAAAGCTGAGTCAGTGGCATTTTTCCAAAGAGGAAACATTTCATTTATTTGTAAAGAAAAAATATATATTTCATATCCTGTATTTATTTGAAAGTTAGTACAAGTTGATGCCATTAAAAAAAAAACACTTTTAATGCAGTTTTGGGATCAGGAGAAATGAAGCAAACCTTGTTTTGACTAATGTCATTGTCATTAGCTTTTTGAATTATTTTATTTTAAGGCCATATCACCCAGCCCTGGTTGAATAATTCCCATTACCGGCCAGGGCTTTGATGCGGGAGCACTCAAACAACTTGGCGCTGGTGCACTCTGTTTCCCAAAATGCCGAACTGATGGGCCGGTTGTTGTTGTTGAGCTGGCGCTGGGCATCGGCGTTGTCCAGGTCCGGCGAAGCATTCGCCATGACGCCACCAACACCCTACCACGCACACACACACACGAACACACACAATATTTACTGCAATACACACATTGCATAACATGTTCACTATTGGATGTGTCTTGAACATCTAACTAAAACAAAGACCTCAACAGAAGACAAATTGTAAATAACAGTAAAAATAAATATGAAAAAAAATCTAATTTTAAATTAAAATTGGAAATGGCCCAAATCTCCCCAAATGGTCCCTTCAAAACAAAATGGCGGACTAAATTCAAATTCACATAAATAACAAGAAAGACAAAACTGAACTAAATGCAATTACATAAGCTAAATTAAAATAAGATCGCATGCAAAAAAATGCTAAAATGCAGAAAAATACAAAAATATATTAATAATAAATAAGAGGAAATGTTAATCTTTAAGGACTTAGGTTTTGGTGCCGGAGGGTTAATGTTCAAATCCCACTGGGGACAAATGTAAAAATGGCAATTAATTGTTGAAGAGATGCTAGCCTGCTTCCTGGGTACATTCGAGTTGCCCTCGAGCAAGACACCCTCCCAATCCCCCAGCTCAAGTGAAGCAACACTGTTTGCACATCCGTTTCCCTCTGCCATCTCTCCCTGCATGCATGCATGTTCTCTTGTTCAGTGTGTCGTGTGCAACACAAATATACAGCAATACTGTATCGAGCAGACAAAAATAAACTTGGACAATGAGACGCATATGCCGCCTTACCACACACAAAAAGTATTCATGTAAGAAAGAGCGAGACAGATGCCAGTGTTAATCAAGTCACATTGTTCCTTGCAGGCGTGTTCCCCCTTTCTGATCTGAGTCCTCATCAAAGCTGTCATCCTCTCGTCAAAAGTGTCAAAAGGCAAAATCCAATTGATACGCACACCTGAACAACAGCTGGCCCCAGAGAGCCTGCTCAGCTCCCAGCACGTCGAATAAGAACATGTATATTTAGATGTAGCCACTAGCCGTTAGCTTTAACCAGTGAGACAGACAAGCTCAATTGCAATTGGTCCATGGTAACTCATAAAGTACTCATAAACAAATGACTTGTTAATTTATATTTCATAAAGATTCTTATGAACAGTTCAAGTGTGCCATGACGTCCTGTTTGCTAAGAAGGCACCAAGTGTGCTAGCACAAGCTAACGATAGGAACCTAGTCCCTTTTTGTAGTGCTATTTTGTGACTCTGAGGTTCAAGATTGACTCATAACTTACCCCACAATACCTGAATTTAATTCAGAGCTTATATAAAGACATATAACCAATTTGGGATGGATGACAATATTTACATATCATGGACTCCTGGACGCACACAGAAGCGGAAAGTAAAAATTGACCTGAACACAAGGTGTGAGTGACAATATTTACGTCTCATGGTCACTTAGAAGTTTGTGACTTTATTGTTGGCTCATGCCTTCCTGCGTTTAATTTTTCTTTTCCTAATACAGTACTCCTTTGTAATGTCATCCATCCATCCATCTATCCATTGTTTGAACCATTTTATGCTCATGAGGGTCACAGATGTGCTGGAGACTATCCCAGCTGACTTCAGGCAGTAGGCAAACTATACCCTGAACTGGTTGCCAGCCAATCGCACAACACACATAGACAAACACTTCACACTTACAATCTCACCTACTGTAAAGTAGATTTAGAGGGATCAATTAACCAACTATGGATGGGTTTTTTTTTGGAATGTAGAAGGAAACTGGAGTGCCCGAAGAAAACCCACGCATGCAAGGGGAGCTCATGAAAACTCCACACAGGAAGGCTGGGGCCTGGATTCGAACTCATGACCTTTGCACCGTGACGCGGACGTGCCAACCAGTCGAGGACCGTGCCGCCTTTTGTAACGTCATTGTTGAAAAAATAATTTGAGCATATGTCAGCTGACTTTGGGTGAGAAGTGGGGTATACTGGACTGTATCAGAGCCAAACAGAGGGCACACACTGATGAACAAAAGACCAGCATTCACACCTCTGAGCAATTTTTAATTTTCAACCAATCTAAACTGAGTTTTTCAGAAGAGTAGCAAGCTACAGCATGAACTGGTCGCCAGTCAATCGCAGGTCAAGAATAGAAACAACAATTAATACTCATGTATGGACAATTTAGAATCTTCATTGAGGCTAACATGGGTGTTTTGGGAATGAGGGAGTTAAACCCCACTCAAGCTCGAGTAGAACATGCAATCTCCACCAAACTCAAACCAGAACCTCAGAGCAGCAAAGCAAACGTGCTGACCACATCACAGTGCTGCCCATCACAACGTCACTAAAAGTAGAAAGTAGGAAAGAGCAGTGCAGCTAGTGTGTGCTGTTGCAGCTATATCAGGCCTGCTGCTACTATGTGACCAAGGATGCTCTCACTTTCATGCGCCCTCTGACGTGCACCGTCAACAGTCGTCACGCGTGCCCCATCCATCACATGTGCACCGTGCACGGACGGAACACTGCGGTACGGTACCCCTGCAACCTGACGCATGTCCGGATGCCGACTCTCCTACCCACCGGTCCGAGTGTAACCTCATCCCCTCAGTTTAGCCCCAGCTCTCTCCTTCTTCTTCACTGGCTTTTACCTTCCGCGCGAATGCCGAGGACGGACCTTTGTGTCTCCCGGCGATCGAGTGCTCGTCCCCGGCTTGCTTAGCACCGGCAAGTGCAAGCCGAGCCGAGCCGAGGATGCCGCCGATTAAGTGCCGGGCCGGGAAGTGCTGGCCTGGCTGCGGCTGCTGAGGAGGATGATGATGACATCCATAGGACGGACCCGCTCCTCTCCCCCCCACCAGCGTTACCACCTGACAAAACCTCCTCCTCCTCGGCTTTCTCCTCAACGTCGAGATGCGGAAAATAGCAGCAGCAGCGGTGACAGGAGGGGCCGAGAGAGAGAGAGAGAGAGAGAGGGAGAGAGAGAGAGAGAGAGAGAGAGAGAGAGAGAGAGAGAGAGAGAGAGAGAGAGAGAGATCATAAAATGTGCACTAGAGGTCGCAATCTGACAACCGCATTTCAATCAAGAGTACTTTACAGCAATAGAAAGTACAACAATATAATCATGAATAACAATACATAATATTTAGGAATATTTATAAATGAAGTGTTGGGTTTAGGATTTTTTTTTTCCTAGAACGTCATAGCTGTAAATTACAACGGATGGTAAAATCCGTATTACGCAGGCGTTTATCAGTCGAACCTAAAAACAAAAAATGAAAATACATAAAAAAACCTGATGTGCAATAAAAAAATAAAGACATTTTTAAAACCAATATCAAAAATGCGTTTGGGCACACGAAGGCATCGCTGATTAAAATTTGCAATAGTGAAAGTGTGTTTCAACAAGCGAGGAGGGGGATCCTGTATCTTTAAATGAATTTAAGGGGAGGAGCTCAATGATAGGCGGAAGCTTACCGTAGCCTGACCGACTTATGACTGTGTTTTTATTGTAACTTTTTTTATTTACCTTCTGACTCTCTAGACGCTCTAACTGTTGACGATGTCGGACTCCGTTAAGAACGTGCTCATTTTTGGGGCGACGGGAATGACCGGCTTGGCCACCCTGCCTCTCGCCGCGGCTGCAGGTGAGAGACGACGGATGACATCACGCTTTGACGTACCTCTCGTTAAAAAAAAACCGCTGACATAATTGTCCAAAAAAACTGGTTCTAGATTGAGAGGTTGGAATGGAACTTAATGTATTGTGTTGTTGTGAATATGACGTATTTGTTAAAGATGGGTGACATAGTGATTTTAATATATCGTATAAAGTAATTAACATAGGTCTGTGATTCATTTGTTTATAGAAAATACCAGTAGTACTACTACTACATATGGTGTATTTGCATTCGATTTTGATCTTTAACAAATGTATGCGATGGAATTTTTTTAGACTATATTCATTTTATTAAACAAATGAAATTATTTCCATTATTTTGTCTTGGACAAAAAAAGAAAAGAAACTTGTTACCGTTAATTTGACATGTAGACCAATCAGCTTTCAGTTACATTAATAATAACAATCAGTTGCTTAGCTGGTTAATTAATGTGACTAAGCAATTATGGTCCTGGTGCAAAAACTGTTGAGTCATGTTAGATTGGCACGGTGATGATGGATGCTTGTTATCTGTTTTGTGCAGGAGGGGCGATGTCACTCTGACTGTTAGGTCCAATTTGGGGGCGTGTGCAAGCGTGTGCTCTCGTGCGTGCGTGTGTGCGTGCGTGTGTGTGTGTGTGTGTGTGTGTGTGCGCGTGTGTGTTCGTGTGTGATAGACAAGGAGACGTCAGGTACATCTGCTGATTGTCATATCATCGAGACCAGGTTCTTTTCCCAAGAGAAATATTTAGTCCCAAGAGGTTTTACTCCACTTTTTAGTCCTATTCATTATTTATTTCTTTATTAAAGTGAGTTTTAATTAGTCTTTTGAAGAACTTTGTGAGTTTTTGTTCTTATTTTTTGAAAACGCTTGATTTTCCTGAAAATTGAGTATTCATCGAGTGCAAAAAAAAAAGGTCACCAAGTATTGTGAAATAAAGAAAACACATGTACACACACACACACAAAAGCCAATTCCGAATTGGCTTTTTTGGCATTTGATGTTCCACTCTCCTGAGGTATGCCAAGCACTGCTGCCTTTTTATGACAGTGCAGCCAATCACACGAGGGCACATTACCGTGGCGCTCCTTGGCTCACCTGCTCCCTATCTTGCAGACTACAACGTGACGGTGCTAGTGCGAGACCCTGCCAGGCTGCCGGCAGACCACAAGGCCTCCAGGGTGGTGGTGGGCGACGTGCTGAACAAAGACGACGTGAAGAAGGCCATGGAGGGCCAGGACGCAGTCATCATCATCCTGGGAACTCGGAATGACCTCAGTGAGAAGAAAACACACAAATACGCAAGACAGTCAATAAACGCTGTCCAACTGCTAAAAATGACAAATGTGTTTGTTTATTGTTTGTTTTGTGTTGTGCTTCTGTCAGGCCCGACAACCACCATGTCTGAAGGCACCAAAAACATTGTGGAGGCTATGAAGGCTCGTGGAATCCGCAAAGTGGTGGGCTGCATGTCAGGTACAACACATTTACATCCGATGTGTGTATGTTTCCGAATGTTTCCAAATGATCTGTGTTCTTTCTCGTCCCGTGGGTCAGCCTTCCTGCTCTGGGACCGCTCCAAAGTGCCGCCGCGCCTGCTGGCCGTCACTGAGGACCACGACAGGATGTACGACGTCCTCAAGTCATCTGGCTTGGACTACGTGGCCATCATGCCCCCTCATATTGGCAGTGAGTGTTGACGAACAAATAACAATTACTGTAAAATCTTGTGAATAAAACTTAAAAAAAAAAAAAAAAAAGATCTCAAATCCAGGGGAGTATTAATGAGCCGTGTTTGAGATAACATATGGATTAAACTACACACACACACACACACACACACACACATATATATATATATATATATGTAAAACATGCCCTTTTTTGCCCCTTTCATTTTCATTTCTATTACGACACAGATGATCTTCCTCTGACGGAGCGCTACGCGGCGACAGAGAACGCGCTAAGGGGCCGAGCCATCTCCAAACACGATCTGGGACACTTCATGGTTAAGTGTCTGTCCAACAACGAGTGGGATGGCAAGACGGTGGGCGTGTGGGGGGACTACAAATAGTTCAAATCACACCACAAATAATGATCATGACAATTGTTCGGTTTTGTGCTTTTCAAATAAATCAAGTTGAAAATTTCTCTGCGAGACATTTCCATCCACTACACTACACTAAATTATGCTCACGAATATTCAAACGCAACATACCTTTTATTCACAATTTAAAAGTGTCGTCAGGTGTGTTAACAACATGCCTGTGGGATGTTTTATCAAACTTCTGATGGTGAAATCAGCTTCTTTAACCATTCACCAAGCAAGCCACTGAAACACACTTGTCAGTAAATGCACCGTTGTGGCGGATGGCAGAGCCAACCAGAAATCACCTCCACTCCGACATCGACAGCATCGCCAAACATTATTATCAGAGCCTAATGCTAATCTGAGCAAACATTGCCACTCTACTTACCCAAAGGCTTTGGCATGATTACATCAAGATGGTACTTTTGCTTTGGAGTTTCGACCAGCCTTGCTGATCATATCATTGACTGATATGATCAGCAATAGACCAGTGTTTCACCACAAATTAGGTATGCTGGTAAACGCAAACGAATCTGCCCAGCCATCTTTAAATGTTCTATTTTTTCAGATTTTTTTTTTCTCTTAGATTTCACCATTTTTGGACTAGCTACTGTTGAAAGTCTCGATGAATGTATCCGGGATTTTACGGGGCTGTCGGAGAGTGTGACGAATATTTTGAGTGATGAAAATAATACAATATATAAATAGTTTTATTTTAATATTTTGAGATCACAATCATCTTACAATTTACAAGGACAATTAAACAAAACGAAACCAACACAAATAAAATACTTTTTCCATATATTGTGCTGTTTTGGTGTCACTGAGCTGCTGACCTGTCAAATCTGCCTGGTGACACGTCAAATGCTCCAAACGTCTCTGAAGAAGGCAAATGCCAGAGTGTAACTAAACACTATTTCCTTATCAGGCTACTACTGTATGAACAGCATAACACGAGGTCGTTCACCTCACTTTCGTCGTCAGGACAGAACTCTCTCTCCTTCCTTTTTCATCTCAACAATATTTTTACAGCCACACTGCCACCTAGTGTACAGTTAGAGAATATATCAGAAGTGATACACGTTTTTAAGACAAATAACATTCACTTACACCGGACACTTATAACTTATTTTTCCAAGCCACGCATAGCCGCAACATAAGGATGAAATAGCCGCGGGTTGTCGACCCCTGTTCTAAAGGAAAAATAACCTCATTCTTTAAAATTGTCTGAAGATGGGTTTTTGTAAGATACAGTTGTGATCCAAAGTTTACGTGCGAATATTTAACGTCAACCCTCAGTTTGTGCTATATGTCTGTCATTTCTATTATTTTATTGATGGTTGTCTTTTATAGTTTCATAAAATCAAAATTGTTGCATCTGGATCATAGAACATATGATAATAAAGATGTATTCTTTGTTATCCCCTCTAAACAAAGTTGGGATGTGCGATTCAAATAAGTCGTGAAAGTCTATGTTCACACGGACCTGCATTTACTGTGAAATGGCTCATTAAATGAAATATGATGAAATGAATGAAAATCGATTCACCGACACTTGGATAATTGGAGCAAATAATGAGATAAAACGTCATTTGTGATAACTTGACGTCATTTCAGCAGATTGCGAGAATATTTTAAACAGTTTCACTTCATGTTAGACTAGTGACCGGAAGTTAGCACGCCTCCTGGACCCGAAATACTAAAATGATGCGTGCAAATAGCCAATTGCTCCGTTTTCAAGCAGCCGTTTGCTCCCCCCCTTGTGGCCAGAATGACATGACTTCATATCACTTCTTATTGACTGCACAACAAAACAAGTTGTTTTTGAATGATGTAAAATATGGCTTATGTATTATGTAATTAAGTGTTATTTTATTTGGTCACATTATTTTTTTTTTTTATACCAGGGAAAAATATACTTAATTCTCGAAGCATTTGAGAATGTACATTTCATCCATCCATCCATTTTCTGATCCGCTTATCCTCACAAGGGTCATGGGGCGTGCTGGAGCCTAACCCAGCTGTCTTCGGGCAGTAGATGCGGTACACCCTGAACTGGTTGCCAGCCAGTCGCAGGGCACACGTAGACAAACAACCATCCGCGCTCACACTCACACCTAGGGACAATTTAGAGTGTTCCAGTAACCTGCCACACATGTTTTCGGAATATGGGAAGAAACCGGAGTACCTGGAGAAAACACACACAGGCGTAGGGAGAACATGCAAACTCCATACAGGAAGGCCGAAGCCGGAATCGAACCACGCATCTCTGCTCTGTGAGGCCGACGAGCTAACTTATTTCAGTTTCTGACGCGAGATTTTGTTTAAACTTTATGAACCTCCTCCGTCTTAACCCATTTAATCACAATTTTTTCCCAGACATTTAAAAGTCAAAATCAGGTGTCATTGGTCGCCCTTTTAAGTAATCAGTAATAAAATTTTTTTAGAGCCCTGTAAATTAAATCATTTTTGTCCTTCACAAATGTGACCCGTGGGAATTAATCGGTTAAAGTCCATCGTATGTACATATATTTTAATATAATAAACTCAGTGTAACACCTAGCTGTTAAAAAAGTGAGAAAGGGCAGGAAAGGTTCTTTTTTTTCATGGGAAATGTCATCAAGTGGGAGATTCCGGGCAGACTCTTGCACCCACGCGACCACAACCACCATTCAACCACCGTGGGGGCGCGTCTGACTACTCGCCCTCAGCCAATCAGTCTCCTCGCAACTGTTCGCTTACGCAGCTGATCGTGGACCGGCTGCGGAGGTGGGGAGAAAAGCCTAGCCGCCAAGAAACTGACAAGACAAGGAGCCACTTGTTGTTGCCGAGCAGCGAGCGGCGGTCTTCGGCTTCATTCGTCACCTCTCCGCTGCCTCCAGGTGAGATGTTCATGGTTTAACTATGTCGTCGCTAATATTAGCTCCGGAAGTTCTGACACATATGACGACATAAACAAGCGGAGGATGATACATTTATGATCCATATTTGTGATGTTTAGATGTATTCGTTAATTCGTGTCACCGCAAAATTAGTTGTAAAATAAATGTAGGGATGAGTTGTGTTGTGGACTTCCTCGAGAGAGCAGGAGTGGACAACCTATAGCCGGTGAACCACCGCTATGCAGTTCTAAAACAAATTTCCATCTTAAAATGATTTATGTTTTTCTACATTTCCCCCCGAATCAGTGAATTCCTTGGTTTCAGTACAAGTTGTGATACCCAAACAAGCCTGAGTGGTGAACATGTTGCACACCCACGCAGCACAGGGTCACGTGACACATACCAGCTCTGGGTGTGAGATGACTTGACCTCACACAGCTGTCCTATCTGTTGACAAAACACACATACACACAAATATATTTACACTACACACAAATACGAAGAGTATACATCCATCCACAAATTTAAGTACACACATGCGCACATATGTCGGGCAGAATTATCGCATTTGCAAAACCCATTAATTTCCAGAGGGGGAACAAAACATTACCTTAACATTACCTCGGCAAACAGAGCAAGCCATTGTCAACACTAAATTGCGGAATAATTAAAATACTTATATATAATAATTTAAAAACAAAAAAAACACATCCATGCGGGGGCAAAGCAACATGCATTCGGGGAATGTGCAATATTCATTTATACTTTCTAATACACATTCCCACCTTATCCAATATGCTGTCGCACTTTACAAGGCCACTGTGCTATTTTACTTTTCACAAGGGGAGTAGTGGGGATGCTTCCAGCTGCTGATCCACTGCCCGAGTCACCCACTGATCCACCTCAGTTATGAAACAACTACTATTGCTCAGTCCACACACACAGCAGGGAGCAGGCTCGTGGTTGTGGTTCCCTTACTTGCTGCCCTACAGTGTAATACAAGCATGTCACGTTTGTCAAATTTCCCATGAGGGGGATTTTTTTTCTTTCACATCAGAGCTTACATACAAGATGGGACAGAAAGCACGTACTGTATTTCTTTTGCACACTCGGTCTGTTACTTGCCTACCACTGAATGAATGAATGATGTGTGTATTGGGTCTTCACTTTTCTGACCCTATTTTTTTTATTATATTCATACTTAAAATGTTGCAATCAACCTCCAAAGGACAAGAGAAGGACACTTGATGGAAGGAAACATCATGACTTGACATCCTGTTGTTTTTTTTTTTTTTTTACATTGCATGATCATAATTTTTCCATTTGCTTAGCCGCAAAGAATCATGTGAAATTCACTGATCAAAGATTTGAATATGAGGCATCTTACCGAAAGGCTGCTCAAAATTGACATATGCTCCACAGGAAGTTGAATGTCTACATCAGCGTCGTCTCCATGGCCATGTCGATGCATCATCATCATCCTCTTGACCTCCTTACCACGCCTCTTTGCAGGTAGCCACACCCCTAACCAAATTTAAAAAATATTTGTGGAAATAAATACATCTTTTTATTTTCCAGACAAGACAATCCGTTTTCTTTTTCAACAAAATATAGAATAGTTATGACAGAAGAAATGCGTGTTAAGTTTAAATCCATAAATATTAACATTCTTTTTCTGTATTTATTTTTTAGTAAGTCACTGTATACCATCATTGGTGAGCTATTTTTAGATCATGGTACTGGGTTACTCATATAGTCCTTGGAGCTAACTAGTACCAGCTGCCACTTTTTTTTTTTTTTTACAGTTTAAACTGTGCTTCTTAAACGTGTCTCTTTGGAGGTGCCATTTTCAGTATGATGTTTTGCAAAGGGCACGGACTTTTTACAATATACACCTACTGGGGGCCTTTAGCGTCTTCTTTCACGACCACCCTTCCCACCTGAACGCCTGCATGCTGTCCTCAATTACGTCAGCCTTTTTCTCTATATAAGCAGTGTGTCGGCACAACATCAGTCAGTCAAGCGAACCCCTCATCGAAGTTGCACAACAGCATTCATAGATTTTTGGAACTCGGTGCATACACAAGGCGACCTGCATTATTAGGCGCCCCATGCTTTTGGAGAAAATTAAAAACTCTTAAGTGTGCCTTTTGGTCATGAAAATACGGTAGTTTTTCTTTCTTTGTACAAGGCAGTGTTTTCTTTTCCTTTCTGTATCACAACAAGATGATTTGTCAACAAATTACTGAGCAAATAGTAAAACTGAAATGTGAATCTTGCCCAGTCTCTTGCAATCAATCTTCCACATACACAAAGTTGTAACTTTCAATTTTGAATATTCACAGCTAATTCTCATAGTAATGACAAAATTTCTGGGGCATTTACATCAGAACATCGCTCCAGAGTACACTCTTCCACTTACAACATGACTAACTGTTTTATCTGTACACAATGACATAAAGACATGTTGTTCTGATGGCAGTGACCTGTTCATTCGGTGACACAAATATTTACTTTTGAGAGCTGTGTTAAGGATTTAGCAAAAGAAAATGGCTTTTTTGGAGAAATGCACTTACTGTTTTGCCAAATTCAATTCTGATCGGAGAAATGTACCAAAGCCACTGAGAAAAATGTGTAATGTGTGCAGATTAAAAGAGATGTGTTTTGCTATACGATTATGGCTGTTCCGATTAACCAATAAGAGGAGGGGGGGAAAAAAGACGCATTATAAAATCGAGAGAAAGAGAATAGAATGTGAGGAATACATTAACACAATTTGTGATAGCGAACGATGTCCTCTTTACTAAAGCCACTGCACCCCCTACAGGCCGTCTGAGCAACTGCACACACCCTCTGGTCCCAGAGCATGGGGGCTTCCGCTGTGAGCCCTCCCCCTGTCGAGGTTTCCCCCACAAGAGTGCCGTGCACCTGTTCTGTGAGGACGGCTATCGCACAGTCAAGTCTCCCATCTCCTGGTGCAATCACGGCGCTTGGAAGCCGCGCATTCCCGCCTGCGTCCGCATTAGAGGTGAGCATTCACGGGAGTCTGCCAATTTGGTTCAAAGCGGCCTTTTACGGGTGTCTGTCAAAAGGAATTTGCTATTGATGTCCGATTTCCGATTCTACCAAATTTGGAAAATTCAGCTCCAGGAGCCAGTTTGACCTAGCAACTAATCCGCGTGTCCTCTCGAGGGTCACGGACATGCTGGAGCCTATCCCAGCTGCGTTCGCGCGGTGAAGTTTTATGAGGCGCCATACAACAGGATGCCATGTTATGAAAATTTTGAAATTTCAGCCCCGGAAGACGGTTTGACTCAGCGACATGAAATTTGGTAGTCATGAGTAGAGCCAAAAAAATGTCTTACGAAGGTCTGTCCAATCATACGCATGACGTCTATTATTTTGGCTCACAGTCCATTTAAGGCTCATTTGAGATATTTCCAGTTCTTTATTGACACACATTTTTGTTTTTTTTTGTCTGATTTGAAAAATTCACCCCCCAAAGCAAGTTTGAGTTTACAACATGATACTTGGGAGAATGTCTATCATGAGTAGACCATTTCCAGGGTTCCTTCACAGACCAACCTGTCATAGAGATTTTGTCTGAATGCTGCAAGATTGAGGACTATGTACGAATTGTGAAGAATTTGAGTTTTCAGCAGAGCATGGTTGCAAATGTGATGGATGATTTGCTATAAAAGCTTATCGTATTTGATGAAAGCACATTTGAAGTGTTTCATATCATGGATCAAGATCTAAACGTGCTGACCTAGTTTCTCTTGAAAGTTCTTCCTTCTTGTTTTGGTCCTTCCGCAAGGGTAAATGCTGGTTTCACTCTCATTAGGTCATGTGATTCCTCCTCCTTTCTGCCAGGCTACAGACTGAGCACCGAATTGCATTATAGTAATGTAGAGTACAGCGGCTTGGTGTGTAACTGGTTAGCACGTCCGCCTCACAGTGCATAGGTGCATGGTTCGATTCCGGCTCCGGCCTTCCTGTGTGAATTTCGTATGTTCTCCCCGTGCCTACGTGGGTTTTCTCCGGGTACTCCGGTTTCTTCCCACATTCCAAAAAACATGCATGGCAGGTTTACACTCTATATTGTCCTAGGTGTGATTGTGACCGCGAATGGTTGTTCATCTATGTGTGCCCTGAGATCGGCTGGCAACCGGTTCAGGGTGTACCCCGCCTACTGCCCTAAAACGGCTAGGATAGGCTCCAGCACACATGCGACCCTCGTGAGCATAAGCGGATTCAAAAATGGATGGATGGATTGTACAGTACATACTGAACATTATGCAGTTTGCCATTTTGAAAACGTTTTGTAAATTGTTTGATCAATGGTATATCATAAACAAATAAAAACCAGGTAAAACCTTCATTTGAAACTCGACCCCAGATTTCAAAGCCTAATTTGAAAGCTTCTTTGTTTGAAACCTTACCACAGTCCTTCAAAATGTAATTTGTAATCTTAAATTACAGTATGATTTAAGGTCTAACATTGACTTGAAATCCTAACCTGTTTGAAACCCTAGTTAGAAACCCTAACCCTACTTTCAAACTCGATTTTGAAAATCAAAAACTAACTTGAAATCCTACTTTGAAACCCTAATCCAGGCGTGAAACCCTAATTTGAATCCTTACATTGAAGCCCGAATCCAACCTTGTAACCTTCATTTCAAACCATAACTTGAAGCCAAAATCTGAACTCTTAACCCCGGCTTCAACCTGCAATTTGAAACCATAACTCAAAACCCTAACCCAAGTCAAGTAATTTGAAACCCCGATTGCATGACCGTCCGTGTTTTGTCATGTGTTGTTATTTTGTTATTTTATGTTAACTGTTCCGCGACCCTAGTGAGGATAAAGCGGTTCGGAAAATGAATGAACGTTAACTGTTTATGTGCCTCGGGACTACGACTGAAAACTAGCATTTTTTTCATAAATACTTTGAAACCTTAACGCAAAACCACAAACCATGATGAAAACTCTAACTTGAAATGCGAATTTGAGCCCTCTCTGGTTTGAAACCTGAACCCAGTCTTAAAATCTTACTAATCACTGAAGGGTGCATGTAGTGTTCACTTTGTTCTACTTATCATCCTGTTTGTGGTTTTGGTACCATGTCGTCTTCTTCTCTCAGTGGTTCTGCAAACAGGAAGTGAGAGATCAGAAGAGGAAGTGAAAGAAGCCACCAAAATAAACATGAAGCGGATAGACAGGAAGCACCAAACAAACCGCACAGACATCAAATACCTGGCCACTCTTTTACCCACGATGTCCTTTAATGCTGTGATAGAAAAGAAAATAAGTCTGTCAAATGTATGAAACCCTAATTTGACAGCACAACCAAGAATGCAAAGAACACCTTGAATTTATATTCAAGATGAAATGAGATAGTGGCTGGAATTATTGAGAATGATTTTCATTTGGTTTTTATCTCCCTCTTGCTATTCTCAAGATTCAAATTCCAACTCGATCATCCTCCCATGATTCAGAGCAATGATGCTATGACACACCAAAAACCGAGCCCTATAGATTATTTTAAGCAATACATTCATGACTCTGTGTTTGAAGGAATTGGCCCTGTGCACAAATCAATGAGAACTACTTGCATTTGGAGCAACACTAACTATCACACCTAAAGAACTAGAGACGTTGTTTTGGGAGTTCTATTTACATGGGCTGTCTAGGATATCTCAAAATTCAAATGTATTGGGCCTCTTATTTTAGAGTCCAAATTGTGGCAGAATCTCTCACATTGACTTTTTGATATTTTCTGTTGGCTGCCAACAAAGTTCCGTTTCACATGTATCTGCTTCCAATGCCCGCTGCAGTGGACATATCATAGCTAAAAAATGAAAAAAAATTTTTTTTCAAAAATGTATTTTCCGGTATTCCAATTACTTCACAAAGAATGGGGAATTTCAAAATAAAAGTGATTGGACCACGACTATTACTTTAGACCTCAACCCTGGCTTGAAACCCGACTGCTCGTTTCTACAGGGGATGCTCGCATTAACGCCCATGGCGGGGCAGATTTTGGCGTGCCCAACGTGGCCACGACGGCTGTGGGCGTGTCCATATTCCTGCTCACCACAACCGCCTGCCTGGTGGTCAAGTCCCGCCTCTGCCCCTGCCAATCACAAAGGTGAGCACCCTGCTGTCACATGTAATATGACAGCTGTCACATGATCTCTGATGATGCATGACGTGTCACATGACTCATGTCACATGATCTGTTACAGGATGTCACATGATGCATCTGTCACATGATGTGTCATGTGTCAACTGACATGTTTCGAATGAATTGTAGCATGTCAAAATTATCACACAAAATGTGGCACATGTATGATACATCACATGATGATGCCACCTGGTGTGCCATGACATGTGACATGTGTTTCACGTTGCATCTGTCAGGTCACATATGTCATATGTATCAAATGTGTCACATGATGTCTGTCACATGACACATTTCCCAGTAGGCGTCGGTCCTCGGAACAGCTGGACCTGATGGCTGAGGGATTTCCTGTGCCGCTGCCGTCCTATGAGGAGGCGGTGTATGGCAGCTGGGGCCAACCCCTCCCCCCTTGTCGCTCGCCCCCACCGGGACCCACCCAGCTCCTGCTCGCCCGGGAGCCAGCCAGCGATCAATTCAGCCCTGACAATCCCCCACCTTCTTACGAAGAGGTCCCATCACGAACGAGTGACAGCCGACGGCTACGTGTTTCTCTTTCGGACGACAAGGATGTTTGAAGGACAAAACTGTGAGGCAGTTTCGATTGACAGCTGCCGGATGTGACGACAAGGCACTTTTTTCCCCTTGCATTGGGTTGGACGCAGCGGGCTGGCGTCCAGAAAAAAGCTGATTGGCCAGTTTGCACTCATCTGACAATGGAAGCTCTCAGGTCCAACATGAAATGCTAATTAAAATAACCCTGGTTTGAAACACGAACGCAGATTTGAAAGCCTACTGTAATCTTGAACCCTTGTCTTGAAACCATGATTGGAAACACCAACCAAGCCTTCATACAGTTCATTGAAACCCCAACTGTAAAACCCTACTTTGAATCCTTAACCCCGACTTGAAACTCTAATTTAAAATTCAAACGCTGGCTTGTATTTGAAACTAGCTCACCCCAACTCCAGTTTTCAACCAAACTTGACACCCCAATCAGGCTTGAAACCCTCATTTGAAATCATAACCCAGGCGTGCAACCATAGCGACTTGAGAGGTTCCACTGTATCCACGAACAGAATATTATAATTAATGTATGAGATTATATTTATATGAAGTAGATCAATTGCAGACTGAATGTATTTTCTCTTTATGAATGCCATACTGTAAATAATATTGACTTAATTGATAAATATATCTTTACGTCTCTTTGTTCTGTCATCTTTCAAATTTTCCTTCTGACCTTTAAGTTTCATTTAGTGGAACTTGCCACCACAGCAGGAAACCAGAACCCACACACACACCAAGATGTCTTATATTGATTTATCTCGAGGGTAAGTCTGAGCAAGTTATTATCATACCTGTAGTTATGCGGTTTCATTACGGAAGCCCCCCAGCACAAACAAACAAACAAATAAATAAATAAATAAATACTTACTTGAATTCGCCTGCCGCTTACGAGGTACAGCAGACAAATACAAAAGTTAAAAAGTCTGTATTTTAACAAAGCTCACTTTTGGTAACTAAAAAGTTTACTACATAAAATAACTGAAATATGGTTTGTCCGGAAATAAAAAGAAGTTGAATTACAGTAAAGCGACCACACACACACACACGTACACACACACACGCACATACACACACGCACACTCACACACACTCCCTCTCTCTCCCACAAGCAAACACACACAGACACCCATGCCTCCCGAACGTGCCAGACGCTCCCTCAAGCACACAAATACATGAATGAGGACAAGTCATTAATGACTTGTTGCAACTTTGTAATTTGTGATTTTGGCATGAGAATCACAGGAAAAATTCTCCTACCATGACGTACAGTATGTTTGAGTAGAGTTCATCATGACCAGTCATTGCACAAGAGGGAGAAGCATCAGGAGGAAAGAGGTACAATATTACCACATTCAGGGTTGTGAATACAAGGGAATAGAATGAGCCTTTGGAAATCGCACAATTGGTAAATTCATCTTTTGCAGCATGAAAAAAAAAAATCACCTCACTTCTGGATTGAGGATTAATTGTACCTGGGAGACACTTTAACACTATATTGAAATAGTTAATGATTTTGCAGCATGTGGCTCAAGGTTGATTTTCCGGGCTCAGACTGTCACATCATAAAAGATTCAATAACTCCCCAGGTGATGTGTTAATTAACATTCTCAACTCATCACAAGTGTAAATGTTTGCTACTGTACAATAAAACTAAAATAAAGTAAAAACACTTGGTACTTGATTAAATGAACGTTATTGAAATTCAGGCTCTTGCCTCGTGCTTGGAGTAATACTGTTCTTCAGTACCTTCGGTCAGATATTGGCCAGAATCATACATGGCAATGGCGAGTGATGAAAAAAGCGGAAGGGGCGTGGCCTGGACGGGGGCGTGGCCTGGACGGGGCGTGGTTACTTACAAAAGTGGCACTAAACATGCTGAAGATGAAGTGTATTAAATTTACACAGTTTGAAAATTGAACAGAAAAAAATCCCAAGATCGCCACTATTCTTTCAAGTGAAAATTTGTGCAATTTTGCCTCTGCATTCCTGGTGAGTACCAATATGTAACTCCAAATTTGCTGCTCAAAATCAAAACTAAAAAAGTAAACACATTCCCTGCC